ATAATAATTATCTAAAAATAACTATCCAATAGAAATACTAATATATATAATCCAATAATAATTAATATAAATCTTATTCAGTAAGATTGTTCGTTAAAAGTCATATCATGATAATATTATAAAATAATAATTTTTTAAATATTTATTTTTAAGTCAAATAACAAGTAATTTATTATAAGCAATTTATTTTTCAAAATCAAAACCAATAAAAAATATAACTTAATATATTTAACAAGTTATTCTTGAAATTCTTGTTTTAATACTAAAAATCTATTAATTCTAAGCTAAAATATATGATATATTTATATAAATTTATTGTTATATAATATTATTAATGCTGTTATTAATAATATTAATTCCATAATTCACAATTATTAATATTATTAACATGAGTATTATTGATATTTTTGGTGCTTTTATCAGTATATATTAGTATTAATTAATATTAATACAAGTTTAAAAATCAATAATTATTTAAAATATAAATTTCTAATAAAATAAATACTAACTATAATTAATTATTTAATAATATTATAAATAAATATAGTTTAATTGGAAGTTAAAATAGAATTTGTATTAATTTGAAATTTGATTCACATTATAAAATTAAAATAACTTAACTCTAAATCAATCTAAGTTGATTTCAAATTTATTTCTACTTACAATAAATATATAATTAGTATATTGTAATTAAAAATTAATTGAAGAAATCATTCAATTTTTAAAACTGATAATAACAAATTTCTAGTTTCAAAGAATATAATAATATAGATGTTCCTCTTTTTCTTTTAATAAAAGTTTTGACTTGCAATGAGTAGAATTTTTAATAATTATCAAGTCTTGAAATAATTGATGAACCTATTAGTCATATAAATGACATTTGGTATTATGGTAATTCTGACAAGCATCATGATAGTGCTGCTGGGTTTTAACCAAATTGATCGAGATCTTTTTTATCAAAAGAAAACCGTCATTTTAGAATTTTTAAAAGACGCGTTTCCCGAATATCTAAATTACTTTCACAAATGTTTGCATTTGCCAAATCATTTTTACACTCAGCTGCTCGAAACTGTACTCTGCGAAAAACTCCAACAGTTACTGCCCCGTTTAGTAAAATACTGGCTCGAACATGGATGGTACAAAGAAAGTTGGAAAGAAAGTCCTCCCAAGTGGGAGAAAGTATGAAAGAATAATAAATCATAATTTCTTTTATCAAAAAAATAGAGTACAGCCGGAATAGAGAAATCGCATTGTGCGATATTGTTTCCTGGTATTTAAGATTTTTTATTTTATAACTTGTTACTTGGTACCAATCATTTGTCTTTAACATTGATATCATCAGGCCAAGGCGCTCAATATGTTGGCATGGGTAAAGATTTGTATGCAAGTTTCGCATCTGCACGCGAAGTTTTTGATGAAGCCGATGACGCGTTAGGCGGTGGATTCAAAGATCTGATGTTTGGTGGTTTACAAGTAATATTTTGTTAACAATGTAAAAAACTTAGTTAGAATCAATCAATATAATTAATTGATTTCTTTTATCAAATAGCAAAAACTTACTCTAACTGAAAACGCACAGCCGTCAATATTGAGTGTTTCTATTGCGATTTTGCGCGTTTTGGAGGTACTCTAATAATATTAGAGATACGAAATGTTTATTTCAAATTACTATTTCTTATACTTAATTTTTCTAAGGAAGAATTTGGATTTGATGTTTCTTCTGCGTGTACATACGCTCTTGGTCATTCATTGGGTGAATACTCTGCGTTAGTTGCAACAAAATCAATTAATTTTTACGATGCGGTGAAACTTGTGGTGGGTTTATCTGTTGTTCATCTGAAAAAAGTTATTTTGCGAATAAAAAGCGAAATAGGATAATAATAATAAAATTGATACGAAAATAGCGATTACGCGGAGAAGCAATGTCAAAAACAGTGTCACAACGCGGCATAAAAACCGCCATTGCTGCCGTTGTCGTAAAAGCAAACCAACTCGCAGAACTAGAAGCGTCGATGGATGAGATTCGCGCTAGTTTGCCAGAGGGCGAACTTGTAGAACTGGCGAATATTAATAGTGTGAGTTAAGTAATTTTTTTGTGTTTTTATCTGGCATGGGAAATCATTGATTTTTCCTACATACACGATCCAGTCTTTCCAGGTCAGTTATCTTTATTCGGAATTCTTAGGTTTTTTGTATTATTTTTAGCAAATTTGTTTATTCTGATTTATAGGTTGTAATTAGTGGTACAAGCTTCGGAGTAGATCACGCGTCACGATTCTTACAGTCCAAGAAAATCGCGACACGCGCGGTTGATCTTCCCGTTTCGTATGTTATTTTTTGATGATGAATCAGTGGTGATTTTACACGATACCATCATTAATAACGGCGAAATGTTTATTTATAAATCAGCGCCCCTTTTCATTGCGTGCTGATGAAACCTGTATCCGAAGAACTTCACAAAGCATTTCGGGAGATTAAATTCCAACCTCCCGTCGTAGAAATAATCTCAAACGTGACTGCAAAGCCAGTAAGTTAGATATGTTCGACCGAACTTTATTTCCAAAGACAAACTGTTTATGAGTAATTACGTGTATTTTGTGTTTTTATGTATAGATAAGATCAATCGAAGATATTCCAAAACTACTAGCAGAACAAGTGACAGCTACGATACAATGGCAACGAAGCATAAAGTACTGCAAAGATCGTGATATTGACCACTATATTGTATTTGGGCCTGGCAGGGTGTTGGCAAACCTTCTTAAGAAAGAGTATCCGCTTGATCGGATAAGATCTATTACTACTGCTGAGGATATCGAGTCCCATGTTAGAGAATTGAATCTTTCGAAACAGAATAAAAATAACAGCGAAGACGACAACAATAATAGTAATAAATAAATAAATAAATAAATAATTAATTAAATAATTAATTAAATTGAATAAAAGATAATGCCTATGATTATTGGCCCGAGCTATTATTAAGATATCGTCGCACAACCAATGATTGGTGTAAAAAAGTAATAAATATAGTCTTCGAAAAATAACTTTCTTCATTCAGTCATGTCGTGGTCGTCATTTCGCAAATCCCGTATAATAATACCATCTTTTATAGTTTTTATAGTTTTTTTACTTTTTTTGCCGACAATAAAAGCATGGGATCAAGGTTTGTTTTGTCTGAATAAACGAAAAGGTCTAATTCTATTGTCTTCCCGCGTTTTTATTTATATGGTTTCCTTTAATTTTATAGAGGATTATGAAATATTTGATCTAGTGGATCAACTTGAAAATGCAGAAGGAGAATACGTAAATTTTTATTCGTGGTTGGGGTTGGACGAGTCTGCTACTGATAAGGAGATTGGGAAAGCGTATCGGAAAATGTCATTATTGTTACAGTAAGTCTATCAATCAATTTTCGACGAACATCCAATTATTTTGCATCTATTAACAAAACAAAAGTCCGGATAAAAACCCCGACGCAAGCACACAAGAAAAATTCGCGCGTCTCGGTTCCATCACTGCAATTCTTCGCAACGCGGATTCAAGAGAACGTTATAACTTCTTTCTGAAAAATGGAGTTCCACGCTGGAGAGGCACCGGCTACTTTTATCGCCGTCATCGACCGGGAGTCATCGGCGTGCTAGCATTTCTTCTCATCCTAATCTCGGTACTCCACTACCTTGTAATGTGGATAAACTTTTACCAGGAACGTAAACGTGTCCAATATTATGTCCAGGAAGCGCGTGAAGTTGCATGGGGCAAGCGAATGAAAAAACAAGAGACGCGGAAACGTGTTAATGTGAATGATCGTCAATTTATTGTTGAAGGCGATTATATCGCGCTTTTGACTGATGATGGTGAGGAATACCCGTTGGGTATTGAGGAAGTTGTTGTGCCACGTGTAATGGATTCGTTTGTGTTTGCGTTGTCTAGATGGGCGTATAAATTAATTAGCGATAAAATACGAGGAAGGAAAATCGGAAAGAATGGAATATATTCGAATGAGTTAAAAAAAGCGGGTAGAACAAAAGATGCAGCAATTGATGATAATTCGTTGGGTGATGAAAAAAGTTCTTTTTCTAGCGATGATGAACAAAGTGAAGCCGGCAGTACTACTGATAGTGGAAAAGTGCGACAATCTCGTAAAAAACATATTAATGGTAATAATAGACGAAGGAAAAATAGAAAGTGAATGGATAAATTCGGATTTGGATTTTTTATAAAAACAATTTTATATTTTATTTTAGTTTTTTTATTTTAAATTAATGTTAGACATTATATTTTGCATATAAATTAAATTTTAATAATTTACCTTTTATATAATATAGAACATAATTAACTGACTAGAGACGTTCTTGAAAGAAAGTTACGTAAGAGATTAATAATAATAGGAATAAAATTATCGATGAGTTTCACGAATAATAATATTATTATTTCGAAAGAATGCATGAAATCTAAGAATCAAATAGTATGCTCAATGTATTAAATGAATTTACAAGCCAGAATAAATACACAATTTTTTATTGTACAAAAAATTACATTAATTTAACAATCAATTATACAAAAATTATACTAGATAAAAATATAGATAAAATTTTTATAATATAGTAATTTTAATGTCCGGCGCAGAAGGCGAGTACGGCGGTGGAGGAGACTCTTCATCATCCTCGAGTTGTGTTCCAACGGTGTTTGAATGTATAAACGACGAGGAAAATCGGAGTGGAGTGGGATTATGATGTGATGATGGGGATTGTTGTTGGAGCTGAGGTTGTGATTGTTGAGACTGAGCAGGAAGAGAATATGCGGGTACATCATCGGAAGCTCTTAATTCCAATTCATTTAATAATGGGAAAGTAGGTCTTGTTAGTGATGATGACGAAGTTGTTATTCTATGATGTTGTGATAGAGGATACGATGATGACTCATGGTGGTTGATACTATTCTTTAATAAAGCATGGCTAGAAGAATCGATTGAACCACGAGAATGATCTATATAATGTCTTGATGAGGATGAATCCTGTGAAGGTTGTGTATAATCTGATGAATCATGCAATGACGACGACAAATCAGTCATTGATTGTCGGTGATCATTATTGCTATTGTTATATCTGGAACTAGACCGTATAGACCTTTGATCTGTCGATATCCGTGATTCATATGATGCAATCGATAACAAAGAATGCTGAGAATGTCGTTGTTCTTGCAAGAAAAATCGGGGGCTCCTCAATGCTAATAGCTCCTCAGTTCGCAATGCATTCTCGTCTTCGCAAATATCAAGAGCAATCTCTTCAGACAAATAATTCTCAATTTTAATTTCTTTTTCCAATTTAATATTTGCCGATCTTCCAAATATCATATTTATCTTTAATTTATGCTTCACGCTAATATGATCAGTATCTAATGAATAAAATATCTTGTCTTTGGTCGGAACAAAAGTTTTGATTATTGTGAATCGTTGATTCGTTTGTCCAGGTAGTTCGGGAACTTGATCACCGGTAAACTTTGTTTCCATGATGTATTTTTTTTGTTTGAATTTTCCATCTGCTGCACGACATTCTCTGTACTCTTTTATTCCCACGGTAAGTTTCTTTAGATATGCTTGTGATTTATGGAAAACTAGTCGCAGTGGAATAATAATCATTCCTTCTGGTCGAAATGTCGTTTGTTCTAATGAGACATCATATCCGACACCGCGCGCCACTGCGCGCTTATCGTCACATTGTACCCATCTTGTTGGATCTGGTAGTCGTGACGGATAATATCGAATAATTGGGCAATTCACTTCAACGTACTGTTTTTTACTGGCGCGAAATCGAAGAATTTTCGGTTGTCGAGAAATTACGACCTTCAACGTATATGAAATCTTTCCACGTCCTTTTGGCAGTTCCATTGACGCAGGAAGGTCACCTGGCAACGCGAAATGAAAAGGCAAATCCAATGTAGTAACTGATTCGTATTCTTTATTACTACCACTATTATTATTTGAACTCCATATACAAGAGGTAAGATAAACCAGTTGCTTCTCAGCTTTATAAGTAGTTTGTAATGCTCCAGCCTCTTCACGCCATTTCACTCTCTCCATGCCCACAAATGACAAGCGAATTTCTTTGACAGGTAATGGTGAGCCATTCGTAAATCGAAGGTGAAAAGCACCTGCTATAAAAGAACGACATACACCCAGATATCCTTGTTGGAAGGTTTGGTAACCAGGCTCAAATGTGAAATATGCTTTGTAGTTGTGTTTTATGTTTGATGTCGGTGAACTTCCTGTTGTTGGTGTCATTTATATTAATAATGAAAATAGTTTATTTTTTAAATGGATCCAGCGATTTTTCGTTTTCTCAAGAGTTCAAATAAAAATAACTCCATAATCAATTACGGGCCGAACTTTTGTAGTCCATTTTCGGATTAATGAATGTCCGGTTTAACGGGAGCGACGTGTATGTGCCACAGAAATCGAGTATTTTCTTGGTTAGAAATTCTTAACAATAAATTTTTGATTTCGCTCTTCAATACTCTTTGATTATGGATTCTCTTGCTAGTATTCTTTTTGGTAATGTTGACGAAGAAGGCCAAATTGATTATAATGGCTTGGATGAGGTGAGAATAATGAGTTTATGTTTGCTAAAACAAAAAGTTGCCTCTCAAATGATAAACCAGTATTTTCTTTAATCACAGGAAGTTATACAGTCTTTACAACATGCAACAGTACATGGGGGTGATTTGCTCGAAAGTTTGCTTCCAGAAAACTCCCTTGATTTGGGTGTCGAGAAAACACGGACAAAAGAAAAGCTTTACGATCCAGTTACCCCTCAAGATTCTGAAATTCAACCTCAAGAAAATGCTATAGATTACTTTAACATTGATGAATTAGCGGCAGACGATCAAATAGTTTCCATTAAATATTATCAGCAGGGCGTTAATAGCGTCTTGAACCTCAAACGTTCTTTAACCCTACCTTCATTACTCCCTTCACGTCGTTCATTAACTCTTGATACTGATGATGACGACTATGATGGAGGATTTCTGGAGAACAAACAGTTATTATCCGTAAAAAGAATACCTGATAGTACGTATATAATGTTTATTCATTGAATTTTCTTGGATCATAAATTTGATTTGATTCTTTTGGGTTTTTCAGCATGGCGTACATCACTTGAAACCGATACTGTAATTAAAACACACCAAGAAATGGATATTGCATCACTATATCCAGCTTTCAGAAAAAATGAAGTGTTAAATTTTAGCCAACTCTTTGCTACAAAGGTAAATCGTCGGCGGAAATTACATCCAAAAAGTCATCAAGGTAATCAATCTATAAAAAAGATCATTATTAGAATACAATAGATTCATTATATTTATGTTTTACATCAAGTCACAAATTTAGTTCAACCAGAATTTATTTTGGAAGAAGATGATCGTAAAGCTTTTGAACAACCTATGCCTCAAATTGATCACGATAGATCTCTTGAAGCTATTGACAATTGGCCACAAGAAAAACCTCGTCCACGTGAAAATACAAGATCTTTGCCGTTAATAAGAAAATATGAAGATGCTTTTGATGAGGTTTTTTTGATTTCGGGAATCTTAACTGTGATTTTCTTCTATTTTTCAAATTTCAAACCTTTAATTTCACCCCTAGAAAGAAGAAGACATTTTCGCTAGGAATATCAAAGTTCCTGCTATTGAAAAGAAAAATATATTTGCACCTCTTATGATAGATACATGGGAAGAAGATATAATTTGGGATTGTGACAACTCTGATAGGTATATTCTCATACTTTCCCTATAGGATTGGCTTTTTAATGAATTGTGAATTTCAAGGATTTTTTTGTTTATATCTCTAAAGCATACCTCACATTAAAACTTCCGAACGGGTAATTTTCATAAGCATGTTGATTGAGAAATGTTTATAAATGAATCTCCATAAACTTTTCGAATTGAATGTTATAGGAATCTCAAAAGTCGCAACAAATTTTTGAACAATTGCAAAGTGAAGCTTGGACGGATTCGATAATATGGGATATACCTGAAAAGCAAGCATCACCTGCTAATGATAGCCATTTAGATACGAGAATCTCCAATATATATTTAGGTTCCGCTTCTATGGGTGTTAAAAAAAAAGGTAAAATTGAGAATTATAATTTTTTAATCTGATTGAGCTTGCATCCTTTTGAGAGTATATCTGAAGACGTGATTTTTTAATTGAAATAGCGCAGATGCTAGAAATGAACGACGATATAGTGAAGGTAAATTACAGATTACTTTGTTTATCTTTATCTCTTATATAATTATTGTATATGGATTAAATTTGCTTGGCTTCAATCTGATTTGAAAAGACACAAGCTGCTTCACTAGGTTTGGATCGGTTCAACGTCTCAAGTGACGTCTCATATGAACCCGTTAGTGAAGGAAGGGATCACAGAGTGAGGCAAACCTACGGACAACTTGTCGTGCAGCATTCCTTGCCGGCTCTGAGATTGCAAATGCCATACGTATGTTTTGAGAGAAAATTTTTTGAAGTAATATTATTCTAATAGATTATTAATGATTTCACATGATACACAGTTCAAAGCAAAACTCACAAAGTCCGAGCTTCGTGCTTTTCATCGTCCATCGATACAATTTTCACTTGATCAGGAAATTAAATTTTCCAAAGTCAATACTCATAAAAAACATAAATCAGGCATCAATAAAATAGCCGAGGCGATGCGTAATTCGAAAGAATTGACACTTAAGGACAATAGTAATTTCATATTAATGGAGTATTCGGTAATTTGATTTTCACTTGAAAATTTTTGTTGATTTCCTGGAAAAATATAACTTTAATTTTTAAACAGGAAGAATACCCTCCGGTAATGTCAAATATCGGTATGGGTAGTCTATTATTAAATTATTACCGTAAAACCGATCCAAGTGATACAACTGTGCCAAAAGTAAGTTGAATTTTTGATTTTAAATGGTGACTTGCCTTACTAAATATTATTATTGTTGTTGTTATACAACAACCTTAAATAATGCATTAAAGCTTGACATCGGTGAGCCAGTAATATTAGATGTAGCAGACGCATCTCCCTTTATGAATTTCGGGAATGTCGAATCTGGACAAATTTTGCCTGCTATCTTTAATAATTTAATTAGGGCGCCTTTATTCATGCATGCTCCTAAAGACTCAGATTTCCTTGTCGTCAGGTTTGATTTTTCTTTCTCTTTGTTAAATCAAAATATACAATTTTATTAATTCTCTAATAAATCTTAGAAACACTTACAAAGGCAAGACGAAATATTATATACGAGAAATACGCAATCTTTTTGTTGTTGGTCAAACTTATCCACTACAAGAAGTACCTGGACCACATTCAAGAAAAATTACAACGACGATTAAAAATCGACTTCAGGTGGCGGCATTGAGATTAATGAAGAAAAATCCTCATCATCGTCTCAAATTCGAGAAACTTCAAAAACAATTTCCTGAATACTCGGAATTGCAAATTAGACAACGGTTAAAGGCAACCTGTTTTTTTCCTTTTTAATATATAGGATTCTTCCAACAATATATATTAATGAATATTGCATTATATTTATAGGAATTTGCCGAGTTACAGAGAACTGGTACAAATAAAGGTTTTTGGAAATCAAAATCCAAAAATTTACCTAACGAGGAACAACTGCGAAATATGCTAACACCAGAGATGGTAATCTTATGCTCAATAGTTATTGATTGTCTTTGTCGTTATAATAATTACCTATAAAAATAATTCAATACACTTACAATAGATCTGCTTATATGAAAGCATGTTGGTTGGGCAACGTCATTTGCTCGACTCGGGATATGGAAACGTTGGAAAGTCAGCGAATGGAGAAGACGAAAGTGATGAGTCAAAACTATCTATTGAAGAACAGTTAGCACCATGGATTACTACTCGAAATTTCCTAAATGCTACGCAGGTATTATTATGTTTATCTATAAAATTATTAGGAATTCAAATTATTGGTTCTAATAATGAAAATATTTTTGTGTCTTTATATAGAACAAAGCTATGCTAAAGCTTCATGGAGACGGTGATCCTACTGGAATCGATGAAGGTTTCAGTTTTATTAGGGTTTCGATGAAAGATATTTTCTTGAAACAGGGTGAAACAGCAGAAGATAAACAAGGTATTATATGATTTGATTGTGGTTAATATTGTTTTGATATTTAATATTGTTTTGATATTTAATATTGTTTTGATATTCATTGTACCTTCTTATTTTCATAGCCGAAATAGATAAACTGCCGAAAACTGCGCATAAATATAGTGTTGCAGAACAACATCAAAGATATCAGGAGGAAGTGAGTAATAATTTCTCGTACAAATGACAATTTTAATCATTACAATTTGACATTGTTGACGCGACTTTACTTGACTAGATCGATCGAATATGGAATGCACAATATGCTTCTTTAAGTAACAAAAAAGAAATCCCCGATGAATTAGAACAGTCTGAAACATCCATTGACAAACACTATAGACAAACGCAGGTTAGTATTTTCATGTAATACTTATTCGAAAATCTTTATTGTTGAATCTATTAAAGAATTGTTGACCCACAGGCCGATGCTATTGAAGAAAATTTATATTCTTCGCCATCCTCCCCTTCAATGTTCTCTACCGGAGATATGGAAGACAATTATTCTATTGATGGTAGTATGGGTTCTCGTGCAAGCTATGCATATGGATCACATCGTAATAGGAAGCTCACAATAAAACATACGGTAAATAGCACTACACAATTTTTACGGTCGATCGTTTTATTTTCTATCCAAAGAATTCAAATTTTCTTTTGGATAAACAGATGAGAAAGGGTAATGGTGAGGAGGAAGTACAGGTTGAAGAAATAATTGATCCTGCGGTCATAAATGTATATATGAGACATATTCAAAAGCTCCAAGAAGAATCTATGAGGTATTTATTTTGCTTCGAATTATATACATGTCTCCCGCACTAAACTAATTCGCTCGTGACTTTATTAGTGCCGATCAGCTTGAGCCTACCGATGACGAAGAGAAAAACAAAAGATATAAAAAAAGGTATCATATCATCAGTAATAATATAATATAATTATAATGATCTTGTTTATTAAAATTTTGTTGTAATGTCTAGGATTCAAAATCTACTTGCAAAACTAAAACGAAATCAAGAAAGACGACAACAACGAAATGCCGCTCGTTTAGCTGAATCCGATCTAACAGAGAATACACTGCCATCTAGAGACAAAAAACCTGAACCAGTGGTGATGTTCACATTAAGCGTTTAAATTTCTTTCAAATTATTTTATACTAACCTACAGAAAATCATTTTTCAGCGACGATGTGGAAAATGTGGTGGACGGGGTCACATGAAAACAAATCGGAAATGCCCAAAATTTAATGAGGAGGAAGATCTCACCTCCTCTGACCTTACAGTAGAACAAGAGCCTGTGATTAAAATGGAAGGCACCAGGATCTCTATATCCAAAGCACTAGTTGAAAAATGAACAAGAGTGTCTAAATTTTTTTTCTAATGAAATTTTGTTATGGACATAATTTTGCGACCAAAAAATAAAACTTCTTCATAAGGAAAGATCGATGGCTGTTTATTTTAATATTTTGTAACAAGATGTAGATGTACGATAAGATTATCATAGAGAAGAAAACAATACACATTCTGACTCCACGATGAGTCATAGAACTAATTTTGCACAGTTATAAGGAACATGAAATTTCGCATTTTCCCAAAAACAGAAAAATCATAGCGAGTTAATGTGATAATAACTTGAATATTTAATTCAAAATGAACGGAACAACTTCAAACGGCGCTAGAAATGCGAATAACACTAGTGTACAAATTAACCCATATACCCCAAGATACGCAGATTTACTTAGTCGAGTAAACAACTTTTCTATCATTGAATCAACATTAAGAGGTTTGTCTCAATCATATGGGAGAGGAAGTCAGCGAAGTCAGCGAAAACACTAATAAAAATTTTTTTTTCAAAAACGAGTTTTTATAAAAGCAAGCACGCTGATAATCTTAATTTGTATATCGCATCTCAAAAGTTTTTTTTTACACTATAAATTATACAAAATATTGAAAATAAACCACTGATCATCGCAAAATCAAGATCACCCATATACTGACAACTTGACGGTTTTTTTCACTATCACAACTTCAATTTGCTCTAAATAGAGGGAGAACAATTTGCCAATGCCTTTTTTGACACGGCTACCAAAATTGAGATTGCTAAAGCATTGGATGATTTTGGTGTAGAATATATTGAATTGACTTCACCAGCTGCTTCGGAACAGTCGCGGCAGGATTGCATTGCAATATGTCAGTTGGGTTTAAAGGCTAAAATTTTAACTCACATCAGATGCCATATAGATGATGCTAAAATTGCCGTTGAAACTGGTAAATTCTATTTTTTGGAACTCGAAAGACTGAAGGATGTTTTTGTTCGAAGAATCATAGATATCATTGTAATGCAATCATTTTACTTGATTAATAAATTCAGGTGTGGATGGAGTAGATGTAGTCATTGGCACATCATCTTATTTACGAGAATTCTCGCATGGTAAAGATATGGCCTACATTTCCGCAAAAGCAACTGAAGTAATAAATTTCGTGAAGTCTAAGGGAATCGAAGTCCGATTTTCGTCAGAAGATTCTTTTCGAAGTGATTTAGTTGATTTGTTGAGCTTATATCGACAAGTTGACACACTGGGTGTAAATCGAGTGGGAATAGCTGATACAGTTGGCTGCGCTAATCCACGTCAAGTTTATGAATTGGTTAGAACACTTCGTGGTGTAGTTTCGTGTGATATTGAATGTCATTTTCATAATGATACGGGATGTTCTATTGCTAATGCATTTGCTGGTAAATATAATAAATTATTATTATTCAATTAAATTCTGCTTGAATATTAAAAAATTATTTTTTGACCAAAAAAAAAAAAACTAAAAGCACTCGAAGCTGGTGCAACACATATCGACACATCGGTTTTAGGTATTGGCGAACGTAATGGTATTACGCCTTTAGGTGGTTTAGTTGCCCGTATGTACACGGCTGACAAGGATTACATCAAATACAAGTATAAACTTGACAAGCTTCGTGATGTGGAAAATTTGGTTGCCAATGCAGTTGGCGTAGAAGTTCCTTTCAACAATTATATAACTGGATATTGTGCGTTCACACATAAAGCTGGTATACACGCCAAAGCAATTCTGAATAACCCAAGTACATACGAGATATTGAAACCAGAAGATTTTGGGTATAGTATTGGAATTATTTATATTTTTTTTTTTACATTTTTACTAAGAAATTAATAATTTAAATATTCTACGTGATGAATAGAATGACCCGTTATGTATCTATTGGTCACCGTCTTACAGGCTGGAATGCTGTCAAGAATCGTGTAGAGCAACTTGATCTTACTCTTACAGACGAGCAAGTTAAACAAGTCACCAACAAGATTAAGCAACTTGCAGACATCAGGCCTCAAAGTATGGAGGATGTAGATACGTTGTTAAGAAATTTTCACCATGCTGTCAAATCCGGTGATCCTTCTCATGTCGAGAATGTTTTATCTACACCTGCTGTTAAATAGTGTTATCTATTGTGTTATTTTTTGTTTATTTATATAAATTCAAAATTTTTGTGAAGAATAAAAATTTGATAAACGTATTTTTTATGACCAAAAAATAGATAAATATTTAGTGATTGATTATTGACTGATAAAGTTGTTTGATTTCTGGATAATTCGAAAAAGTATTACAAACTCATAGTATTTATTAATATATTGATATGGAAATTCCAATATTACTTCAACAAGCTAATAATAATGACATGGATACCACTTTCTTTGAGACAAAGTATCAACCAAGGTGACTATAAATTTTAAATCCTTTTTTGACCTTTCTCTTACCGATCTTTTTTTTGTTATTTTAGAAGTTGGGTAATTCAAAAAATTGAATCGACAATCGAGAAATTGCTACATGATCTCGCCAAAGGCAATCATCATCCACTTGTTATCGAATCCGTATCAAATACTAATAACTCGCGAAGGAAGGAAACACACACAAGGTAACACAACTAATAGATGATATTATTGTAATTAAAAATATAGAATCCTAATTCAATGATCCTACTAATTTAACATCAACAGATATGATTCTCAAACACAAACAATCAGAAGGACTAATGAGCCTGCAGTGAAGCAATTACATTTCCCTTCGACGAAAAATACGCGTAGTTTTGTCGTTATTATAAGGCTCCTTGAAATATGCCATAATCTTTTAGTGCAAAATATAACTGCTACAAAACGGTCTTTTATGGAAATCTTTTTTGACTTGATGAATTTATTTAATGGGGTTAGGGTCACATAGTGATAGATTTTAATCATATTTTAGCGATATATATTACAAAGATATACAATTATTCGGTAGTCAAAGTACTGTCGATATTGTAAGTAGTAATTTTTTTATAATTGTAATCTTATAATAATTATACTAATTATTAATTTATTTATATTTCGAAAGGGAATCGATGAATTGGCTTGCCTTTTTCACGTGCCACGCTATTGCCTAAATGTTGTGAGTGCATTTTTATCAAGTCTTCTACCAAAAGAATTTTTTGATTAATTGAATATGCATTAGACTGCATCAGCTAAAGGCTTAATAGCTGGTCCTTTGAAGATCCTACAAAAAGATGGCACTGTTCTCGATTGCCTACCATTAAATTATCAGGTATATTTTAGTTGTTCTTTTTTTTTAATTTCATTTATGATTAATATACATTATTATATAGGGGGTTTTAATTCCAACCTTGGAATTAATTGATAATATCCTTTCTTCGATTATTTTATCATTATTCATTAGTTATTTATTAATTCTTAATAAAAATGAAATACAGTTAGAACCTCGAGCAGAGTTTGTATTAGTTATAGAAAAAGAGGTAAATATAGATATACGCAATTAGTGAGTGCATTTAAATTTATATGATTTTAATCAATTTTTTGCAGGCCACTTTTCAATATATACTTTCAAGTCACAGATTGGACGAACTTCCTCCGTGTATTATGATTACTGTTTGTATACTTTATCTAGTTGAATAATTATCTATACAATTATACATTATAATTTTTGTTATTTATTTAGGGCAAAGGGTATCCGGTAATACAATGTCGCGTAATACTTTAAACAAAAACAAAATTTCTATTTCATAATTAATTATCGTAATGGGATATAAGGATGTAGCAACCCGCCATTTAGTCAAACTACTTGCAGATCAGAAAATATCAAATACAAGTCAATCATCGACAAATACTCAAAACGAGTTTCCGATACTGGGGCTGTTTGATAATGATCCTTACGGTAATTGAAAATATTCAAAGTAAGTGGATAGATAATTTAACGCAACATTTTTTTATTATCTTCAAGGTGTTGAAATTTTTTTCGTATACAAATTTGGATCAACGGTAATCAAATTTTATTAATACAAAGAAGAAATTTATTCTAAATTATTGATAATAATAAAATATTAATTTTAGTCAATGTCGTTCGATAACGAGAATCTGGCAACACCAAATTTACGATGGCTTGGATTACATTGCTCTGATCGTCGAAGGTAAAAAAATTCTTGATGTAAAATAATAATTTGCTTCGCTTTGCAAATTGATTTTTATTGCTTTCTGGACATAAAAACAACAGATTTAATATATCCTTGGACAGCTTAGCACCATTAACTCAAAACGATAGGAAAAAGGCTCTGAATTTATTAAAGCGTAATTATTTTAAAGATGAATGGAGGCAGGTATTTTTTTATTCGTTATTTTATTTATCTTAATAGTTGATTAATTTAATTGATAAGTAATTAGGCATGAAATCTCGCGTATGTTGATTGCTGGCAAAAAAGCGGAGATACAAAATCTTTGCCAAGATAATTCTGATAATTTTACCAAATATTTATTAGAGAAAATGAGAAATGATTTACATTGGTTGTGATTTTATTAAACTCCCATGATCGAACGTCAGTATGATAATATATATTATATACATTCTATTCTATGCGCGTGTGGGAAATATGTTTTGTGTGTGATTGTGATTTCAATTATAAACATTTAATGTCTTTTGCTTGTTTGGAGAAATCGAATACCAGATTAATCGGTTATTTTTATCTAATCAAGTCTAGATTTTAAAGGAATTCGGAATTTTTTTGTTTTGGTAGATGAATAATTAATTAGATTATAATAGACAACAAAGTCCTTTTCTTTGTATCAATATTCTCTATTAGAATCGAATAAATTAAGTGAATTCTATCTATAAAATTCACCAAAGACCAAAAGCAAATGATATTGCTAATGACATCATCGTCACTGGCAAAGCAGAATAAATAGTAGTCGATAACCCATCACTTGTAGAAGCAGCCTTCACCTCAGGATCATTTGATGAATCAGACGAATTACTACTTTTACTGTCAGCCGAAACGAGAAGAGCGGGAGGTTTACCACCAACTTCAAGATACGGAGTAGAATCACCAAGACATTGTGGAACAGTTTGAATAGTTAAGCCTTGTTGTTTGACTGCTATTTGCATTACAGCTTGCGCTGCTTGGACTGTTTGAGGGAATAGATCATGCTCGAGTACAACAAATCCATTTTTCATTGTTGGTAATTTTTTCATCCATCCTTGGAAAATTCCAATAACGTGATCAGCATTTTGGGTTTTAAGTCCAGGTCCAGTTCTCAATGACCAATCATCAGTATCAAATCCTTCCGTCCAAAGTACGGCTAGAAATTAATAATGAAAATTAAATATATTTTGTTCTTTTTGATTTATTGATGTTGTGAATTATAATTTCGAACTTACTCCATAAACCAACAGCACGTGTAAGAGCACGAACACGGTCATCAGTGTCACCATAAGGAGGACGCATATATATGGGAGTGACTCCAATAACGTCTTTAATTGCCTTTAAAGAGAGATATTTTTAGCCGAAGATCTTTATTTTCATGTACGATCTTTAGAAGCATTAATGATACCTTCATGGTCCACTTCAATTCTGCTACAACAGATGCGTCCGGAAGCGAAGTAAGTGCGGCATGTGCCCACGTATGAACTGCAATATTGTGACCTATGAACAAAAGCTAACCGAATTAGAAATTACTTGATTAACTGATCGATCATTTATATCTACTAACAGTAATAATGATACCTTTTTCATAAGCAGCTTTTAGTGTCTCTGGAAATGAAATTACGCGACTTCCAACTACGAAAAATGTAGCTTTAATATCTTTGCTATTCAAAGTATCTAACAGCTTTGGTGTATATAATGATGGACCATCATCATATGTTAAACCCCATACGCCTTGCTTCGGGCATTGATCTTTGTCATCTGGGCGAACAACTTTTTGGCAAGTCCAAGAGCCTTGATTTGGTAGAATTTTCGTTGGTGCTTGACAATTTGCTTGGCTATAATTAACTACACCACCATTTGATTGTGGTAACTTAGGTACATTACTAAGATCTAATTCCTTTAACCATTGTTGAACTACTGGATCATCTGTATTAGGAGTTCTGTCTAATCCTGGGTATACAAGATTTTGGCCGTTTATAGTAACAGTAACACTTGGTAAAGGGGCAGAACCAGCTGAAGTCGATGGATTAGTCGTAGCTGCAGCAGCAGCATTATTAGAGGTAGTAGTCCCGACATTTACCTGTGGCTGACCAGCAGCTGGTGAAGCATCCACAACATTGTAGACACCTATAGTCGCAAGGATTGTTGCAAGGAGGGGAAAATATCTCATCTTTGATATTAAACAAGCAGAAAAATGGATAATAATAGTGATGATATTGATGGTTTATTTCCGCTTCTTTTTTAAAACTTTTCTAAAGATATCTTTCTATCTTCCAAGGGTAATGAGGGTAATGATGTTCGAGTTGATAGGTTGATTAGTGATGAGAAGGGTTGGAAATTGGTTAGGATCCACCGACCAAGGTAGCAAAGGAAGGAAAGTAGTTGCGACTATAACTTGCGAAAAGAGGGGAAAAGGAGAGGAAAGAGAAAACGCAAAATTATTGATGGTAAAAAGAATGAATAAAGGAAAAGAATGTATATTAATATATGTATCAAGACCAGCTTCTGAATCAACAACAAATTTGTCCGATAAGGATTTGCATACTGGTATATGCTCGGTCGTACGACCTTCTTTATTATATTGGTGTTTATCATATTGGTGTTTTACGCGACAGATGCGCGTCGGCCAATCTGTTCAATAATTAAACGTTTAATTAATTAATTTATTGATTTAATTATTTATATTCAATTAATTAACAGAATAAATTCCAGTCCACATACAATGACACTAATAAATCAAAAGAAATGACACGCATCAGAGCACACTAGAATGAAATAATCCGTTCGCTGCTAATACTCTGATCAAATGCATCAATAAGTACACACTTGCTCTGTTCTCGCATTAAAATTAATTTGCCAAGATCGGTTTAATGCGTCAAATTAGCCCATACATAATTTATTCATCCAAATATAGACAACATATCAGATATCGTGATTGATATTAGCCAATGAAAATGAAGATGTGTTTTCATGGTTACGTAATGTACGGATTTGAGTATATTTAAGAGAATTCCGGAGTATTACAACTAAATAAAAATGCGAATTTTTTTGCTATTAAATTTTTTAGAGATTTTTGTCTTCTTTGAATTGCTACTATTTGCTCTGCTCGATGTATCATCCCCGGTCTTTATTATTAAAAAAATTCGCGCGTTTTTTATTAAAAAAAGAATCAATGACTACCAAAAAAGTTCGAATTTTCACATACCTTTCTTTTCAAATTTTTCCTGTCTCGACTATGTTTATTGTTATTATTGTTAGCAGTAGTGGTGGAAGTAATATTATTAGATCCAGGATTTGTACCACGAATTAACCTCTTTTTTAGAATAATATTATCTTCAACCGCAAACTCTACAATCAATCTCTTTTTATCGCTAAACAATTCCGGGTTATTATTAAGATATCGTAAGGCAGCTAATGCATGAGCGTGATGCGTGAATTCCAAGAAACCGTATCCTTTTGAACGTAGCTTTAATGTGTTCGAGTCTATTCTATATTTTGAGCATACAATTTTGGCCTGATAATTTCGAATTTAGTTAGAATATATAAAAAACTAATTTAATAAAATAAAACGTTAATTAAAAATATTATAATACATGCTTGTTTAATGAATGGTTTTTGATTCCATCCCTCGATTTCTTCGTTCTTTGACAACCCTTGTCGCTCACCATTTTTCACCTGTTCTCTAAATTTTATTATGCTTTCTCTACCTAGAGCTTTTAATTGTTTTTCATCGACTGAGAGTGGAAGATTTCTAATCGATAATCGTGTTTTGGATAGGGAAAGATTGGGATTTTTCGCCAGTGAATTTTTTCTGAACGAATATGAGGCAGCACGTTTTGCAACTTCCGAGGGAATAAGGGTGGCCGCGGCAGGTGTGTCAGGTAATATCACTAAATATCCATCATCCCAGGTTTGTCATAATTATGTATATGAAATATTTTCAATAGTCATACTTATTACATATTATAATCATTGTTTTGAATGAAAAATGAGACGATGATGCTTACCTCCTTCTTTCATTAAATAAATGTTTCTTCGATCTTCTCTGCGTTTCCTCCTATCTTGATTTTGTTCTTTCAATTTTTTAGCCTGGTCTCGTTCAACTGCTCGCACTACCGACAAAACTCTGCCATGTAATGTGAATTTTTCTGCTTGTCGATCAAAAGAATCAGGCATCAATATTGATCTGAATTGCAATTCGTTGCGTCTTTTATTTTTTTTTTCTGAAGCAGTAATAGCAGTGCGTTCGTTATTCATTTGTAATTTCTCAGCCTCCTCAAGACAATAATTTGCATCCTTTAGTTCCTTGAAACACACAAATCCCGTGCCACGTGAACGTCCTGTATCATTATCCATAGTTAAGACACAATATCTTAGTGGTCCAAATAAAGAAAATCTAAGATTATAAAGAAATAGTTGAGTAGATATATCATCAGAATTATATACATGTTAAAGAAATAATACTAACAGATCATGTAATTCCTCTTTAGTCGCCTCAAAAGGAAGATTCCTTATAAATAAAGTAGTCCCTTCAGATGCAGAAGGCGATTTTTTTTTGTCTTTAATCGAATTATCCAATATAATATCTACATCAGATTCAAGTTCTTCTTTTTTCACCTCGGAATTTTCAATGCTTTCTTCATCGTCTGATTCATTATATACTAACTCTTCTTTTATCTCCTCTTCCTGCTCAGAATCAACATCATTTTCCACCCCTGAATTTTCAATGCTTTCTTCATCATCTGACTCATTATATACTAATTCTCCTTTTTTCTCCTCTGAATCTGCATCCATTTCCTCACCCAATTTCATATTCTTATCTTCATCCTCACTATTATCATCATCACCTTCTATCGATCTTTTTCTTTTTGAGTCCATATTTCGTTTACGATCCTCACTTTTACTTTTTATATTTTTAATCATTTTTCGTTTCCTGGGATGTTTTGACAACGCATATTGCATTTTTAAGGTGCGTTCTCCACGAAATTTTGTATGTTTCAACGTGGTCAAAGCTCGGTCAGCGTCGTCTTGTAACGCAAACCGGACAAACCCATATCCTTTATTCTTTAAGTTTGAAACCTTATTATTATTGGTAGTATCAGGTTTTTCTTTGACAACGAAGCATAAGCGTATAGGCCCAACTGAGGAGAAAAAGGACTCCAAGTCGGCGTCTGTGGCATCGTATGGAATTGTACCTACAAAAAGTGTCGTAGACCTGCTGTTTTTAAGCAGGGTAGTTAAAGTTAATTTTATAAGACATAATCATGGCTTAGAATACGAACTAACTTTAGTAGTTGCGCGGCCATTCTCACGAAGACAAACTATAAACTCAAAAATCTAGAATCAAAAAATTGATTTGATACATATCACGTGTTACAAGATATTTTTATTTACTCTATTACGTTTCTATACTCAAAGTCTTGAGACCAACCACACCCACACCCTCAAATAATCCTACAATGTAAATATCAACTCTCGAGTAATCGCGAGGTACACGATAAACCTTTAGATTTTCTTTGAGAATCGACTCTTTATTATTAATATTATCATCATTAAAAAATGCTTGGTAAAAAGCTTCTTGTAGTGTTCGATAACTTGGATCAATTATTTTGTTGTTGATGTTCGTGGTGGTCCATGAAACTTCATTTTCATTTCCAATTAAATTCGTGAAAAATTCATCAAATTCAATAACTTGGGGTTGAGGCAAATTTTCTAAATTCGAAACATCGCGTCCCAAAACCTCAGAAGCAAATTCTAGCGCGGTTGAGGGTAAACGAGGTACATTAGGAAAGTATACAAACTCAAAAGATTCGTCACTTTCCGAAATGTAATACAGATCTTTAGAAACGGATAATAACGTGTGCTTTATGTATTCAAGACGTGTGTTCATTTTAGGTGTAGAAAATAAAGTCGATATGATTTGCTTGGTACAAAAAAATTTTTTTATATTAATTATTATTGGATAAAGTAACATTAATAGTATTTGGATATATACTTAAAGACGACACTCACGTGACATACGATACTCTCGTGACTATTCAATATGTATGTAAATGTGGGGGAGCGTTAAAGCAAGGCAAGCCGTTTAGTCGGTTTAGCCACAACACGCCACGTTTGATCGGCGACACATGATTTGAAAAAAAATTTGCCAATCTATTCACATAATAAATAATAAAAACACTTGTAAGTAAAAAAAATTATTGCTAAATGAAATTTGCCTTTCTCCATAACGTTATTTCTTTTTGTTCTTCCCTCTAACATTATTTTCATTTTTTTATACTCTTTGGAACAATATAATTTACGAGTTTCTTGAACGTTCTCAAAAATGTTAATTATGTCTAATGCGACCGGGTGCGGGCACCCTGGCCTGCCAAAACGACGCTCTCTAATTTAATATGATTTATGTCTTCTACGCATTCTATAACTTAATTTATAATTTTTATGTTTTCTAACCCGAATTATATAGTTATTCTTCGGCTCTTACTACTTCATGTCGAACTTCCGTGAGCGTTTTTTTAACATCGATAAAGCGTTTGAACTTCCTCTCAAAGAATTCGATAAGGAATGGGCATTCGTCGACAATATATGGACTAGGTTTAATGGAAATAAATTATCAAATGGAAGCGAGTGGAAAACGTACGTATGCAGGCTCTCAAAACCCCAACAATCGAGTGGACGCAAAGTTGGTGTCCTCCCTGACAAACTTCGAACAACTTGGAAGCATTCTCCAATCGAGTGTGAGGCTAGGATTAAAATCACTTGGTTTGCGGACAAGATCCGAATCGAAAATTATAAAGATTCCCCTGCTCACTCTCATTCAATTGAAGAAAGTGACATACGAAAACGGTCAAGATATATTAAAGACGCGGTGGCTAATGAAGCTGTAAAGGAGTATAAGCCCCCCGCGATCGCTAACGTAGTCCGAAAACAACTTTTCGAATCACATGAAAACTCCGGTATAGAATATCTTAGAACTCGGGAAGTTGCAAACATTAAATTGAAACTCGTAGGTCCGATGACCTCGCATCTCATCGGAGATGTCAATTTAAATGCTGATGTTCAGGATGCGTATAAGTTTTTAATTCAAAAAAAAAATCGTGTTGAGTTTTTTTTTATTCAAATATTATATCAAGGACTATGTTTCGCAAGTTCCGTACAATTGGAGAATCTAACGCGCTATGGATGGTTATCATTGATCGATTCCACTCATAACACCAACAAGCATGGTTGGCGCTTGTTCACAATTTATGTTCGGGATGGTTGTGGTTGTTGGTGTGTGGGTGCGCATTTTTTCGCTAGCAATGAGAACAGTGCAGTAGTTGCGGCAGGATTGAAAATAATCCGAAAATTCGCTCCCCGATGGAGACCAAGATATATGTTGCTTGATCAGAGCAGCGTGGAAGCTAACGGAATTATGGCCACCTTTCCTGGTCTCTGTGTAGGAGAGCAAGAATGCGACATTCTCCTATGTACAGTTCATATTGTTCGAACATGGATCAAAAATATCTATCATGGACCAACTCTCAATAAAATGATCCAAGCAATGCACAAAAAAACTCAGATCGGTTGTGAAGCACTTGTTCAGGACGCGATAACTACATGTCCTTTACAAGCCAACGCCAAGTACATTTCACGAAATTACTTGAAGAATTCGAAAAAGTGGGCACTCTGGGCGCGGCAGCATTCACCTTTTCTCCTTCAAGTAACTTCGACGAATCCTCTCGAGTCCTACCACAGCGAACTCAAAACAAGAACTTCTATTGCGCACGGCATCATTGGTAGGTTAATTTTTTGTTTCTTTTTTTTCTCTGTTTTTTTTTGATTTTCCTTCTCATTGTTCGTTCTTTATTTTCCCTCCTTCTTATCATTCGTTCTTTATTTTCCCTCCTCATCGTTCGTTCTTTATTTCCCTCCTCTTTTCCTTCTCATCATTCATTCTTTATTTTCCCTCCCCTTTCCCTTCTCATCATTCGTTCTTTATTTTCCCTCCTCTTTTCCTTCTCATCATTCGTTCTTTATTTTCCCTCCTCTTTCCCTTCTCATCATTCGTTCTTTATTTTCCCTCCTCTTTTCCTTCTCATCGTTTGTTCTTTATTTTCCTTCCCCTTTCCCTTCTCATCATTCGTTCTTTATTTTCCCTCCTCTTTTCCTTCTCATCGTTCGTTCTTTATTTTCCCTCCCCTTTCCCTTATTTTTTATTCGCTCTTTTCCCTCCTTATCATTTTCCTTTTTTTTTTCTTCGATTCTCCTCTTTCATTTCCCCCCCCCCTTATTGTTTTTCTTCTTTGCTTCTTTTTCATTTCTTCGATCTCTTATCATTTTCTCTTTTTTCTTCGCTTATTTCTTTTTTTCTTCCCTTTTCTTTTTTCTCGTTTCTTTTTTTTCACTTTCTTCGATCTTCTCCCGCTTCTTCCTATTTATCATTTTTTTTATTTTGATTCGTTTTCGCTTCTTTATCATTTTTGTTCATTTATAGGTACATGCCATATGATCTTGGAACTCGATGAAAAGAAGAAAATAACGGCAAAAGAAGCCACCATCAATTTTCGCACAAAAACAATATCTATTGCTAATGTAGATCCAGCAGTTCTTGCCGAGATCCACAAATTCCCCTTTCCAATCCAGAAGCTCATCGCAGAAGAGGCACATGCAGTCTCGAAACGATTGCAAGAAGGAAAAGATGCGCCAAACCTCTTGGTTGCGGAGTGTGATTGTAAATTCTTCAATCACTATCTCCTGCCCTGTCGCCATATTTTTCACGTGCAACTCTGTAGCGACGCTGATATTCTGACACCAGAAGCGTGGAGAAGTTTCCAAGAAACTTTTGAGGAAAGTGGCTTGGAGATATACCAGTCTCGCGGTTTAGTGGAAATACTCCAACCTCAATCAGAAACGGAGACGGCTGTAGAAAAAAATCGTTTAATAATGAACGAATTATTTGAAAGGGCAAGAGATCGATATTATCATTTGGCGGATCAGGGTAATATAGAAGAAGTGACGAGGTTCGTTGAAAATTTAGAAGAGGCTTTGACACCTGTTCTTTAGTAAGAAACATTTTATTATAATACAAAAAAAACAATAATTTTAGTTCCCCCCCCCCCCTTATTTTTATGCTTGTACATACTTTTAAGAATATTTAATATACAATGAAATTCCTATGTTTATGTGAAATTTTTAAGCAAATAATAAAATTTTAAGCAATAATTAATTATAAGGAGACTACAGAGACTACATTCAGAGCTCATTTTAGCGATGAATTGATAATCAAATTTTACATTGTTAAATTGAAACAAGAGTCGCTAATACGTGATTTTGTTAAATCGCATAGTCGCGTTGTTGGTCGGGTTTTAATTTACCAATCAAATGGTAAGATCATGTGAATCATGTGCCGCCGATCAAATGTGGCGTATATGTGGCTAAACCGGCTAAACGGCTTGCCTTGCTTTAACGAACCCCCATAAAGAGAAATAATCATCCCATCTGCATTTGGAACTGTAATATAAAATCACATGACCAAACATTTTTTTTCGCTACAATGAAAGTCACGTTTTCTCGAATATTCTAATATCCAAATTTTTTGTCTGGTATTCTTGATCGCAGATCAGCACTTGTCTTAAGAAAGGGAATGGAGGAATCAACTTCTAAAATGTCGGTTAAAACACAAATCCTAGCACCAAATCTTCCTTGCCCTGAACTTTCCGTTCGATGGTAATAAATAGAACGAAAAAGCGCTATAATACTATATTTCAGGTTTTCATTATTAACATTTGTCTTAGGTTCCATGCTGTCGATGTACCTCGCTCGGACCCTACTAAAGTTACTCCCTCTGCCTCTTTCGCTTCCAATACCGGCGGTACAAAAGATGCCCCAGTTCCTGTGGCTGTTATTAAACAACCTTCAGCATGGGTACCTTTTTCTCGACGCGATTCTGCTGCGTTAGAACAGGCGTATCAAAGTAAAGCGTCAGAACAGGCAGAACAGACGCATCAAAGTGAAGAGCCTAGAATTACAGTCCCTGTTAATGAGGATTATTTGTTTGAAGTTGATATTAATGATAGAGCAATATATCCGGTGAATTTCGTAAGATTTTGGGTTCTTTCGCGTGAGAGGTTTATCTAATTGATTCCATTTACTTATATTTTAGGTTTATTGGCCTGGACCCGTTTATGAGGTAAGACGTGGAACATGGTTCTATCAGGGAGATGGAAACTTTTTCTTGCCATGCGACGAAAATCTATCATCACAAGTGGAAGCAGGCTATTTGTAAGTTGCTAATATGCATTATTAGAGTTTATCAAGATCATATGCTTAATTTATATGATTAAGTTTTCTTATTAATTAGAAAACATCAACCATGGATAATTCAAGAAGAAGAAACATCCAAAGAAGTTGATTCTCCGACGGAAACCAAGAAAAAACAACCAACAGAAAAAAGTTGTCGTTTATATGGTAGATATTTATCGCAATATGTGGTTTATACTGGTCCCACATGTGCTTGGCTATTGAGGTAAAATTTTCTTCATCTTTCTATCCTTGATTTAGATTTAAGTCATTCTACTTATTCACATCTCGTGCCATAATAGCGATGATATGACCGGAAAACTGGCAAAAACGTTTTATGCAAAGGTTACTATGGGCGTTAATTTGGGTGGGACGCGTCTTTTGAGGGGATATCAAGAAGTTGAAATTTTTGAGTCAAAAAGTCTTGGTGAACCCGAACGAAAAAAGAGAGAGGATCCTGAAAAAGAAAGAGAAAATGATCTCACGAAAGATAAACAACTTGAAGTTGATCCTGAAACAGTTCAAACAGAAGATTACGATAACGAGGAAAGCGAAGAAGACGAAAGAACGATCGATCATTTAATTTTAGTAATTCATGGGTAAATATCGATAATAACTCTAAATATTTTAATAAACTAATTATTTAATTAATGATCTTAGTGTTGGACAAAAGCTGAGTGAAAGGATGGAATCAGTTAATTTTGTTCATGGTAAATGACAATTAGACATAAGGTTTTATGTCTTGTATATTTATTTCCATTTCTTTTATGATTTCCTCAAGATGTGAATATATTAAGACGAACTATCAAAACGATGTACATTACGAATCCACCCGTTGAACTGACAAGAACCGACTCTACATTACCACAGCGAAGAAATTCAGTACCGGCTGAGAAGCTGGCACATATACAGAATGGAATTCAAGTGTTACCTGTCCAATGGCGACAAGAAATTAAGGTGATTCAAATTTATGAGAAATCTTTTTTAGAGCTCAAAGTTGACACGATTTATTCAACTATGAAAGTATTTATTTAAAGTTTGGCATGGCCAGTGGAGATCAAGACACTCAAACTGATCTTGGCTTACAAGAAAACGAGGAAGGACAGACCACTTTAGATGAAATTACACTGGACGGAGTGCCAACAATAAGAATGCTGATATCAGATGTTTTAGTGGATGGTAATTTTAAATGTTTTTAGTTTGTATTATTGCTAAGAAAGCGTGGAAATTCGATGACCTAACTTGAAGTTCTACTTTAATTTGTTTTTAGTTTTATTATATATGACACCTAGATATCGTGAGCAAATGATAAATACAGTCACAAGAGAATGTAATCGTGTTTACGGATTATTTATTGAACGAAATCCCAGATTCTTGGAAATCGGAGGAAGAGTCTCGATATATGGCCATTCGCTTGGTTCTGTATTAGCATTTGACATTCTATGCCATCAACCACCCTTAGTCCCATCCACAGTCTCCGGGATATTCGACGAAAGGAACAGTAATAATCCCGAAATGCAACAATTTCACGAACGGCTTGTAAAATTGGATTTCCCTGTTGCGAATTTCTTTGCTCTCGGGTCACCAATTGGTCTATTTCTTATGCTAAAAGGACTAAAAATTGGATCAAGAAGTAATCAATTGCAACATAAATTAAAAGAAATGATTTCCGGTGATCATTCGGACAGTTCTCCTGATGAAATTCCTGAATTGAAATCGTCTTCGTCAATTCCACTGTGCTATCCTGCCGTCCGAAATATATATAACATATTTCATAGAGCTGGTAGACATTTTTCCATAAATAAAGCTTTCAATTATTTATTTTTTTGTTTAGTTGCTCAAAATTTATTGTATATTCACTATTTTCAGATCCTATCGCATATCGTATTGGTAATTGTATTATTCAATGTTGAAATTAATTTCGCTCATCGATAATTAATAATTAAGCCCTTTTATTAGAACCTCTTATTGCACGACATTATGGTGTGTCCTTAAAACCCGCTCTTATTCCGTATCATAAAGGCGGCCTTAAAGCGGTACATATAGGCATTCAAGAATTTGGTAGCGGAATCGCCAACAAAGCTACAAACATGTTTTCAAATGTCAAGAATTCACTGCTTTTATTCGGAAACAAAAGCAAGTCTTCACAGACATCTCGATCAACATCGCCGTCACCATCATCAGAAGATCCGGAAGGAAAACATAATCCAATTACGCAACATTCTCACATGAGAGGAGGATCGTTTCATCAAAACTCATTATCTTTTTCGGAAAAAGAAAAAGAGGATCCAACTAGCGCTGCTAAATTGCGAAGTTTAAACTTCACTGGAAGAGTAGATTATTGTTTACAGGCACGTATATATTTTAAATATGTATTGATCGAGTTTTTTATTAATGACGACTCTGTAATTATTGTATTTCAGGAAGGAATTCTGGATGTAAGTTACTTGAACGCTATCACTGTCCATCTCAGTTACTGGTCGGATAGTGACGCTGCATTTTTCATATTGCGAGAATGTTATCGTGGAATAGAAGATGACGAAGAAAAATCACTTCGTGAACGTGCGTTCAGCTTACTTGAACTACGAGATAAACCACTCGCTTCAAACATTCAGTCCCCTTCCAATTGAGTTAATTCAATTTTGAATGCTTTCAATTGCAATTATTGTTACACATTTCGAGATAATTTTCTCCCAAGGAAATACAATTTTGGATGCTATATATATATATATAGAGCAAAGATATTTATTTGTTTATAGTTTTTATTTTGAAATTTTGTAATATTCATTTATGCCTAGTTGAATAATAAATCAAAAAGACTGTCTCACCTTTCCTTAACAATCCATTCCAAAAGTCCTAACATACCATTCCATTGTTTCTCCATAATATCAAAAATTCTCAATTTTTAATAGTTGCATATACTGATACATTGTATGTGAAGTGGTGTACACTTCTTCGGACAGTCCGACTTTGGCAAAAGTGTCATCTGACGTGGCCCCAGAAATCCATTGTGCTATCTGCGCATCGGCGGGTAATAGCATGTCTTTGAATTCTTGAAGAATCGGAGCCGCGGTATATGGATGTGATAATGGGCGATATTCAATCTGTGGATATGTATATAGTACACTAATTTTATTTAAAAGATCAAGATTATAAGTTTAATAAGAATAGTTGAAGAGAAATTGATAATATATAATCAATTTCACTTTGTTACCTCAATCATAATTCCTTTGTAATCGGAATTGACATTCAACTTTCCAAGACGAACTACAAAATCTCCAACCGGAAAAGTATGACTCTAATAAAAAATAAGTGAATAATTAAATTTTCCTCAATAGGATAATACATTCGACAGTAATCACCTCAATAGTCGCATTTTGTCTTAAACCCCATAAATTCTTCAATTTTTCCATAATCAACTCGGTCTCACGTTCCGACTCCACCACGACATCGTCAACCAGCGTATAAAACAGCTGTTGCCCATGTCGCGTGCCAATTGTGTACATGAATCTTAATTGCTGTTGCAATTGAGTGGAACTAATGGATCGATTGTCACGATACACTTTACAATGAAGAAGGTATGGTTCTTTTTCTGGGGCGACACTTCCAAAGTCTGCCAGTTTATCCGCAAGGACGGCTAAGGAATCGGGTCTCTTTGCATCTTTCCAGTACATTACCCTTAAAATGATACGTATTATTAAGATTCAAAATGGACAAAGTAACAATTCGCGAATTGTTAGAAATACCAAGTAACGCCCATAGTTTCGAATAAAATTTGACTCGTGAACCAACAAATTGATTAAATAAGCATACCAAGCCACTCATAGAACGTGAAACAACATCAACAAAAAGTAATTTTTTTCACTTTTACTCTTGACCGACATGTCTACAAACAACGACGTTTTGGAACGTAAAATTCGTCCCATTTACGGTAAGGTCATTACCTTTCGCTTATTTGTAGCAGTTAATTCTATTCACTATAGAGAACTCAGAAATAAACGTGTAATAAGATAAATAGTTTGATAATAATATTGTTTTTATATTTAATAATAATAGTAATTGTTTTGAATTCGGAATAATAAAAATTTAATCATTATCATTACTGTCTATCGAAAATGCAACATATAATCTATATAATAAATATTATTAATTGTGAACGCGTCGAAAAAAAATGCCCAAAATAAATATTACATAAATCAAAATTTTTTATTTAACAATTGGACGAATTCCAAATCTACATAGATGCGATCGATTCTCTCAACTTTAAAGGCGCACTTTCACAAATTGCCAAATTACAAAAAAAGCAACCTGATGCACTTATTTTGAAGGTACTTAAATTCTTTGAAAATCAACATCAATGCGTGCAATAATAATAATCGCGTTATTTTTAGTCATTAAAAGCATTGGTACTTGATAAAACTGGGAAAAGCTCAGAGGCATTAGCATTATGTAATGAGGTGAAAGAGCGAAAGCCAACCGATGAGACTGTATTACAATCACTTACTACGGTTTATCGGTCTTTAGGAAAACGTCAGTATTTGAGCATGTTTGGTAAAATATTTTTCTGAAACTTGATTTCAAAGTTTAAATACATTTTCAATATTAATTGATCAAAAGACGAGGAAATCGTTCAGCTTTACGAAAATGCAGCGAAAATCTTACCAGGGAACGAAGAGATAGCAAGTCATATGTTTATGGCAATGGTTCGCAATGACGATTATAAAGGGCAACAACAGGTAAAAAAATTCGTTTATCAAAATCGAACTATATTAAGAACCATAATTTTCAAATCTCATTATTAGGCTGCTCTTAAATTGCACAAAACTTTCGGAACAAGGACAAATAGATATTTATTTTGGGCAATCATGAGTCTAATTTTGCAGGTAACATATGACTGAAAGATAATAAATTTGTCCATGATTAATCCTTACAAATCTCATTAGCCATTTTTATATAGGCTGAACAAGTACCGGCTGCACAATCTGGCATCATCATGACTCTTGCTGAACGTATGATGATCAAGGCAGTAGAAGAAAAACGACTTGAAGAAACTGAAGGTTTTATACGTGATAATTGTTTTTTTTGTACGAATTAGAAAATTTAACTTTTATTTTTTATAATAGAGGTTCATCTATATTGTAATGTCTTGTTGGCACAGAATAAAGTAAAAGAAGCTTTGGAAGTTATTGAAGGTGATCTCGGTAAACGCTGTAAAGACGATACCGAGATCTCTCGTGTCAAACAAGAACTATTGTTGAAATTGGAGAATTGGCCTAGCTTACATACAATAAGCAAAAATGCATTGAGCGAAACGAAGTTGGTAGATGATAGTCTGTTTTTTGATTTTTTACTTTGATTTTTTTATCGAAATTTCTGGGGATATCTTCTAATCCATGAAATCGTGCAGTCCGGACGATTGGAAAAGTTATTTGGCATATTTCGAATCGATATTTCATATAAATGATGAGAATTCATCAAGTACAGATGGCGATAGGTTTGAAGTTAACTTTTTTTTTTAGTTATAAGAGAATATTTATTGAGAGCTAGCTTATCAATCGTCTTTTCGTTGATCGGGAAAGCCTCGATGAAGCACGTGAATTAATAAAATCATTGCAAGAAAAGGAATCGCAGTTGGCTACTCCTAGAAGAGGTCCCTACTTGGCTGAATTAGAATTTAATCGCCGAGTGATCTTACACAATAAAGGTAGTAAGTTTGCTCAATTAATTGTCGATTCCTTTAAAGTTCCATTACAATTATATTTCTTGCAATCTTAATTTATGTGGGAATAGCTATCGATGAAGTTTCAACCTCGCATATCATTAGCTATTTTCTGCGATTTGCCTCTAAATCTTGTTGCTTTGAGGATTTGCAGCCGTATTTACAAGGTTTTTCTGGCGAACGCGCCAAGAAATTGATTGATGAATTTAATGCAACAATCGATGACTCGCCAGAAGATGACAAAGTAAATATAAAGTTTGATAGTGTCTTTTGTTTATTATAACAACTAACAATCTCTTTTTGGTCCAGGAAAAAATTAAAACTATTTATAAGCAAATTAATCTCCACAAAATCGAAAGGTATCTCGGGTTTACTGCGAATTTTGATTCCGAAAAGACAATCAATTATGTAAACAAACTCTGGAAGTTATATCAAGATTCCCTCCAGTACGGTATGATACGAATTTAGAGATCTTATTTTAATATTTTACGCATCGAGTCTTAGCGTCTCGTTTTTTTTAATAGGCGCAGATTTGGTAGAGACTGAAAATCAGTTCGGTGATGAATTTGTAATTCTGTGTTGCCACGCTTTAATTGACGAATACAAAAAAAAAGGTATTTATTCTTAATTGAATTTTCGAAATGGAATTTATTAAAATAGTTAATTTCTAAAACTAATACTTAAATTATTTATTTAGGCAATTACACTTTTGTCATTCAAGCAGTACTACTACTTGAAGCTGCGCTACTTAAAAGCAAACATAATTTCCAATTACAACTGCTTTTAATCAGATTGTATCAAATTCTTGGTAATGATTAATATTTATTCGTGAAATGATACGAATTTGTTGATGCTTATTTTCGAAGCATGCACAAAATTTTATGATTGCGGCTTTTTTAGGTGTCCATCTTAGACCAATGGAAATATACAGAGATATGGATATTAAGCATATTCAATTAGACACGATGAGGTAAATATAACTAGTTAGAAAATATCATTTCGTAATTTTTAGATAAAATATTCAAGTTTATATTTTTATCAACTCATGTTCCTAGCCATTTTATAGTCGCTCGTTCTTCCTCCCTTGCATTCTATAAAGAAGCACTTCAATCATGTAAGGATACATTACCTATTTACCGCAGTAATATTCTAGAGGTACTGTTAGTAATACGGGCACGCAAAATCTTTCATTTGAGATTATTATCTATATTCACTATCTAAGTTAACAATCTTCATAGACTCCAGAGATGATAGTTCACGCATATAAATATGGAACATACTCAAAAGTACTTTATAATTCTTACCTTTCACATATTATCCGATCACAGGGTTATTTATCAGCTAAAAGATTATGTAATTACTAGGTCAAAGAATTTATAGAGTTTCGACAGGAGCTAGACAATTCTTTGCAACGAGTATTGTCTAATCGCGAATCTATACGGCTTGAAATCATTGGTGCTGCCCAAAATACCAAACAAATAACTGATTATTTCGATGAGATGGATATTTCGGATCTTCATTATAATGGTAAAAATAATTCGGAGTAGAAATTTCTTTCTTTTGCGACGCTCAATCACCTGTAACCGAATTCTTTCGGTAGAAAAGTTTTGTGACTCTCTCCGAGATAACAGAGATTTCGAAGTTATGGTTAACTTTAACCCGGTGGAGAAGCCACCCATTGAAGAAATGACACGGTCATCCCCCAAGCTTGATGTAGGATAATTGGCATATTACCTATCGTGTCAATTGATAATATTAATTCATTATGTATATATATACTTATTTATTTAGATTATATGGGCCAAATTATTTACCATAATCCCACTCATTCTCAAGGATATTTGTGTCGATAAAGCTGCCGATGAAGTCTCCAAGCTTGTCACAGATCTGGAGGAACTTGTTGGGCAGAAAGAATCGCAGAGTGTATGTTTTATTTTTGCGACGGTATTGTTAAGTGTATAAATCATTTAATTGGCAATATGATATATGTTAAACAGCTGACTGCTGAAGAAAAGCTATTGGGCAATATTGTTACAAAATTGGGCTCTTTATATATTGCCATTAAGGAAGGTAGTCAATAAACAAGTCTTTGTTATTTGTTAGTATAATGAACATCTCTCATAATTTTTAATACCAAAATTTACTTAGGTGACAATCATCAATTTTCCGCTGCTATTGAACAACTGAAGATAGCTCTGGATGGTACTATTTAGTTTATTTATACTTTTTATCCTTGATGCTTTCTTTTTTTTTGTATTAATTCTCTTCTCTCTTTCGTTCTCAACAGAGGCCTATGCAAATGTTATTTCAGAAGTCAACTTATTAGAATTTTCGTGGTCAAATATTAATCGATTGGCCATTTTCTTGGAGGTATGAGGTAGTTAGTGGTTTGTTTTATTTGAATTATTGAATTCGCTAAACACGGCATTAACACCATTTATTTAACAGACTACAAGTTATGCAGTAGTAGGAATAAAAATAATGCAGAAATTACTAGGAGCCAAAAGCAAAAAATCTCGCCAACGAGAATTGGTATGTGATGGAAATTACGAGAGCACATGAACCTTTATACTCGATTATTTACAATTTTTTTATGAAGTCTAATCAATTGCAAACGGTGACCGCGTCGTTTAAAGAAAAACTTTTGGAAATCAAGAACCATTTGATCGTATTAAAGGAAAAAGTCAAATCGGAAGAGGTTCTTGGCGTTCTGCTGCCCTCTTTGAAAGCTGGCTCAAACTTAGAATTTGTTTTACTTGAGGTTTGTTTTCACAAAGTATGGTCGTTGAAGTTTTAATCGCTAATTTGCTGACCACCACTTCCTCTTTCTTGTTGCTGATCAATAGGAGAAAGAACAGTTCATACGCAACATTGTAAATGGGTTATCGAGTAGCTGGGCGAAAAGTATTGAAAGCCTTGCAAAAGAAGTCAATAGTCGGATTACATTAATATGATGAATCTGACATCAAATATAATACTGTTGGCTGGTTTATTAAGACAGCGTTCTCATTGTTCTTGCCATTTTATCCAAATTAGAAGTAGTATTTTCATTTCAATTGATTTAATTGATTTTCGTTTTTATTATATTTTATTATATATTTTTGCATTCACAAGAAAAAGTTTGTAGTAAAATGTAATACCATTAAATTAATTACTGTTGCTGCCATCTGTTTTTGGTCTTGGTATGAGTAATGAGAATATAATGACAATATCACTTTAAACGAATAAATTGATTACAATTTCTTTTTACACTAAAAATCGAAATTTTCCCGGTGTAACCAACAAAAAAATTTAGAACATGTGACTTAGTGTGGCTAAAAATGTCACTATTATATCTATTTATATATACTGTTACCATTTTGAGCTTTTGCATATGAAAGTATTTCAAAATGGCAGTAGTAATTGTGTTCACAGCAATTTACTTTGAATTTTATAACTAGATGGTGTTTATAATGATAAAATAATGTTTCTTGACAAGATAAAAATGATGATAATAGAAACAAGACTAAATTAAAAGGAAACTTAAACAAAAACTACTTCTAATTTCAAAATAAAATCAATTTAACATGTTAAACTTGACAATATTTATTTTGAATTCAGATAGATTTCAGTTTTCTTAAAAATTATCAATTCCTAATTGTGTTTCTATTTTTTATTTTTTATTTGGTGTGGTTTTTTCTAAAGTTAATATATCTTTAACTATAATAAATTCAAGATAATATATTTAAATAATTTTGAAACAAGTATTATATTCATTTGTGAGATGAAATTGAAGAATATGAACAAAATTCTGATTATATTTTTTATTACAAAATTTATATTTTACAGAAAAATAATTATGTAATAATTTCAAAGAAACTTTAATAAAATATTTCCAAATATCATTAGATTTATGATCAGATTTATTATTTTTTTTGAAAATGAAGTCTTGTTCACTTGTCATAATAGTATTAAAAGATGATAAATGATCATTAAAAAATAGATAATTATTAAAAAATAAATAATTATTAAATAATAATATATATATAGTAATAAATAAATAATCAATAAATATAATTAATAAATTTAATTTAATTAATTATTATTTATCAATTTGACAATTTGATTTTAATATCAAAATTATTTTAGTTTTAGCAAAACTGAAATAATTCAGTTTTAATTCATTAATTTGATAATTCAGTTTTTAAAATATTAATACTGAAATTATTTTAGTTTTGGCAAAACTGAAATAATTCAGTTTCAGCAATCATCTTTAGTATATATAATATATAAGATAGTTGATAGGATTTTTATATCATGAAATTTTTATATAAATACTTTTGATATATGAGATAAAATAAATAATCACATTATATAATATAACCTATATATAATTTCAGATAAATTTTAGTTAATATATAAAATAATTGATAATTATTTTTGTATTGTATATTTTTGATTAAAATGCAATTATAGGTAAGTGATTATATTACAAATTTGATATATTGACAAATAGATATTGAAAAAATATTATCCCAAAGTTTTTGATATAGTGATATCTTGAAATATTATCTCAAAGTTTTTGATATAATGATATTTCAAAATATATAATATCATATAAAAAATAGAATTTAGATTTTAGCATATGCAAGGTAAAAGTTAAAAAAAAATGTTATTTCAAGATATAATTACTACAGAAAAATATATAATATATAAATTATATTTTGAAATTATATACAAATAGATATCAAAAAAAGTATTATTCCAAAATATACTTTGAAATATCAACAAATAAAATAATATTCAGTATTATATATTTTATTTTTAATTGATATTTGAGTGCATTATGAGATATTCAATAAATATTAGTAATTTAGTACTATATACTTCATTCTTAAACAATATTTAAGTGTATTATAACAAATAATAATTTAATACTATATAAAGATGACATGGTAACTGTTGCAACATAATGACAAATAAAGTATCATCTAGTTGCAACTAAGGTTGCTTGCCGAAATCCCTTAGTAACTGTCTAAATTCTGTCAAAATTATAATAAACTATTAGTAAATAAC